CAGGTGTCACCTAAAGAAGGCTCCACGGCCGAAACGTTGTGTTCTCTTTCTTCTTTTTTTCAGCATGGAATAAACCTATTACTTGTTCCTAAGCAAAAGGTTTATTCCATGCTGAAAAGAGAAAGGAAACACAACCAAAGAAAGCTCCACAGCTGAAACATTGTTTCTCCTTTCTTTTTTCAACATGGAATAAACCTTTTGCTTGTTCCTAAATAACATTGTGCCCAATTAGCTACTGATTTGAAACCTAGACTCTTGCATTTTGTTACATTTTCTGTGTATGGATCAATTTACAGATCGCCTTACACTGCTTTGTTCTTTGACAATGTTGCCAAATGGCTTTTTATGTACAGTAGTTGAAGGTAATTTCATCTCATTTTTATTTTATGTAGATTGCTTTCAATGACCCAGGAGCATGGGAGGATAGAACCAATCTCTGGGAAACTGGATTTTGACAAATTTCCTTTGGGCAGCCTTCTCTATATTATCCCCTACCACGTAAGTGTGTTTTTAGAAGGATATTTGTTCCCTTGTTTTAATATTTGTTTGTGCTTTACATTGACCTGAGCTAAGCTTTGTGTTTACTATTAATAATTGAAGTTCGTAATGAACACTGCATTTTTAATTGGGATTGCTCCTGGTAAAGTCTATATTTTAATTTTAACTATGACTTTAGTCAAAAGCAAATAGTTTTTTTCTGTTACATTATGGTAATATATTATAGTACATGGTTTATCACCTTGTTATTATGACTTTAATATAATGAAATTTTAAAAGTATCAGGAAATGAGTCTTTTAGCATTCTAGTGAACAGAAACAATTAATTTCACATAGTATTGCGCAATACAAAGTATATCTTTACATAAAGCTACATGAAAACATTATTATTGTTGACACCGTTATGCCTGAGCCAAACAGCAAAACGAACCCACGTCACCAAAGGATACTCTGCTTGAATCCATCCAAAAGGCTCGCAGTCTATCCTGAACCTGTTCTGTCTCTCAGCAGCCAGTTACTTTCTCAGCACCAGACAAGTGTCATCATTTCCTGCCAGTTTTTCTGTATATCAGCACAGCCCCATGTCTACACCTGCCCTTGAAAAAATGGTGCTCGCATTCCAGTCTTGTCTGAACCCACTTTCCATTCTGCTTCCACAATCTCTATCTTTCTTCATTTTACTTCAGCTATCTATGTCTGCCTCTGACTTTTTCCAGACCCTTACAGGGATACTGCGCTTGGATTTTCAAGTCTGTAAGAAAAGCACACCTGTCTATATTAGTTGGCCATACTTGCTTGGGACTTAAAATACCAAATCTTATTCTTTCTTGATTTTAATGTATTACACTGAGTTTATTTGGAATTACAGTTAAGATAAAAGCCAAAACAATTAAAAAACTGTAAATACTTACAGCTTTCAGATTTCTAATACAATTTTTGAAACTACTGAAGCATGTCAGGCTCCTGTACTAAGATATATGTGATATGGAATCAGTATTTTCAACTTGAAGGAAACTAGTTAAGGATGGCTGAATTATAATGTTTTCTCATTGGTAAAACATTAATGTGCTATGCTAATAGAATAAAACTAGCAGGGAGAATATGATAAATAAGGAAGCTCTGTTTTGGCTTAAATATTTCTGTTAACTCATGTAAATTTATATTCCATGTTTGACCAATATTGAAAGTTTCAGCCTAGGAATTCTCTTACCTTTAATCTAATGTGACGTTTAGTACTATAATTCCACTTCTGTGTGTCTTTACAGGCATGTGCCACAGCCGCAATGCACCCTGTCTATTTTGTCCAGTCAGAGAATAAGATTGTAGACACATGGAAACCAGTTCGGGGATGGTAAATGAATGTGAGAGTGTGAAAAGCATGTGACCCACTTAACGCTGATAAACATAGAAGAGTAATCTTTTTTTGTAAACGTAAATGACAAAACTGTCAACCTTTTGACCCATGATGTCATCATGATGATGAGTTCATGTTATATTTAGGCAACTTGGTTGCCTGTTTTTCTGTTGTCTTCATCCCACTGTCCCTGCCGCCACTACAGTTTAATTAAAATATAAAGTAATTAAGAACTAACAGAAATTGTGACTACAAAACTTGCATTACTCTTAAAAAGCATTATGTTGACTAATTTGTTGTCTGATTCTTTAATTCAAAGCAACTTACATTTGTACGGATTTACACAGCAGTACATTTCACTCAGTTGAGGTGAAGTACCTTGATCAAGAGTAGAACAGTAGTGACTCAGCATGGATTCGAACCCACAGCCTTCCACTTCCATTGAGTGAAATGTACTGCTTAAACTAAGTCGTGAACTCTAAACACTGCTGGTCTATAACACCATAAAAATGTTTTTAATATTTCATGATGTAAACAAAATAATAATCAGAATTGCTTTTTGGTGAAGAAACAGCAGTTAATGAATAGTGAAAGAATATTTTTCTACATTTTAACACTTCACAAGAATATCTGACCAATAATGGCCTGGTAAAATAGAAATGGAAATTACTTTATCCCTTTACCACATTAATACTTTTATATAGACTGTTGATGACTATAGCTTTTAATTTTAAACAGACATTCCACAAGAAAGCAAGTATTCAAACATGCTCTCGTCTTTTTTGTACAGCTAATGCTAAAAGAAATGTTTTTGAAGACATAAGCATTCTGAATCTTAAAAAAATAATGGCTCACTTTCTCATTAAATCATACAGACAGAACCCTTCCCCTGTGGTTCACTGTCCTGTAAATGTTGGCCTCTGCCATTATAATTTAGTAATGCTAGTACAGTACTAATTTTTACATTATTTGCTGACATTACCTTTTTTATTTTTTTTAAATTAGAGAAACATAATTAAATATATTTAACCTTTTCAAATATTCTTTAATACTTTCAGTTCTTTGTTTTGACATTTTTAAATATTGTACATTGTTTAAAGTTTCTATGCTTAATACTATAGGTGATGATCATGCCGTTTGATGTGTGACTTGTCCAGCATAGAAGTACTAAAGCCACTTTACTAATGTCCTGAAGTCAAAATTATATTATATACCCAGATGACTATGCAAACCCAAAGAGGACTGAAAAATGAGCACTTGGATCTGTAAATAAATATTATAGACTTACTATTATTACTGTTGAAAAATGTCTAACTTCCTTACTTTCTTTTGTAACTGTAGCTGACACGCCAGCATGTGTTGTATGTCTGCTATGTTATCTCCTATGTGTCACACTCTAAACTAGGGGTTTGCAATGCTGGTCCTGGTCACCCACATACCTGTTGGTTTTTATTCCAAATGAGCCTTCACAATCAAATCCTTCATTGATTTAAGATTAATTTGAGCTCTTAAAAATGTTGGAGCTTTAACCATTGTATTTTTTAAGGGAAGTCAAATCCCACACTTATGACTAGAAACAAAATGCAAATATTCAATTGAAGCAACTTCTCAGATCAAGTAAGGCTTGTATTGTCTTTGCCATGTGCCTGAATGCAATATTTGTAGGTGTGGCTAATTGAATCCAGCATGCTTAGGGTCATGTATAAAAATAGTGGACAGGCCTGGTTGCCTGTTATTATGGTTGGATGGCAGCAAGCGGAGACCTTGTGAGAGGGTGATTGTTGGGGCATAGTGTGGGTACAGTGATCAAAGCAACTGAACTTAATGATGTTTCATGATCAACATGGTATCTGTACATTAATTTGAAGTGAAAGCAAAACAAGCAAAAAGGTGCAGATCAAGAATTACAATTTTAAATCTGGAGTGCATTTAGCAGTCCATAAATCACTCATCACAACTAGTAATGCATGTTTTCAAGCACAGTGGTGTAAAGAGTACAGACTATGGACTACCAAGCAGTGGAGAAATGTTATATGGGCAGATGAACCATTCTTCACCTTGTGATAAACAGATGAGGTGCCAGCTTAAGGAATTCAACAACACTGGGTGCTTGGTTCTACCAGTGAAGGGTATGGGTATAGTTTGGGTGTATTCATTCCTTTGGAAGACGTGGTCAGTGCTAATGGCTACCTCGTGGTACTGAATAAATATCTACACGCTATGTTGCAGCATTTCTTCCAAAATGATAATCACCTCCTCCTCAGAATGTGTGTGGTTGACCATAGGTTTGATGAGCAATGTTATCCATGTTACAGGCTTTGTTAGTCAGAGCTGAACCTTAACAAGCATTTATGGGATATTTTGGCATGGCACCTAATGACATTGAATGTTGCTGATGAGGAATCAACCAAGTGTAATTTGATTCTACCAGGATAAAGTCAATGATGCTCCTGCAGAAATTCAGACACCAGGAGACTTCTTGCCATTCTGCATAAAAGCTGTACTGGTAACATGTGGTGGCCAAAACTTTACATTGGTGACATCACATTGAAGTTTTCATTTTCTGTTCACTATCTGTAGAATAGGTTCCACCAAATAAGGGACAGAGAATGCTTTTTGTGAAAAAAAATTATTTATTAACTCGTATAAAATACATCTCATTTGATTGTTTAAACCAGCAATGCTATTGAAAGTTATTGAAAACTTTCACCGTCAATAACTAAAATTACAAGATTTACAGACAAATTCACCCAACTAAACATTTAAGGAAAATAAAGAGTGAAGTAAGAAAGCCTTCGGCTTCCAAAAGTTTCTTATAGTCCTGCTATCTCCAGAGAAATATGCCAGTTGAAACTCATTCTAGAAATTATTTTAATCCCTCTTGTTCATGGAGATACACTCTTTATTATTTAATGTACCATCACTGAATACTATATATAGTGTTTAAAGTGTTTGTAAATTCTCTAAATTTCAGCAGAACTATAGATATGAAACCTTCAAATGAGAAAGCTGTAGGAAAGTACAGGAAAAGCAGACATTAGAAAGCCATTTAATGACAGCAGGTCTGGGGGCCCATCTCTTCAGATCGCTCTCTGGCTCACATCATGTCCAGCTGTGGAGACAGAGGAGCACATCAGAACACGATACCCCTCCAAAATAGAAATAATTTACTGCTCATCTGGACAGCACAGTACAACAAAGGACTGAATTTGTTTTTGCAAACTTTAAATGTATGAAAATACTAATCAAATGCCCTTTCAAAGAACATAAAAGTATGATTTGTTAGTTGCTCAATTACTTTCTTCACAAACCGCAGAGGAACTCCTGACATGTAGCTTAACTCCAGCACAGATCGAGTACAGCACTAAAGAATGACAGCAATTATTAAACAAAACATAGTCATTAAGGCAGAGAAGAGGCACACAAGAATACTTCACAGAACTTTCTACTCACCAGATCATCCACATCTCCTTCTTCATCAGCAATAGGTCCTGTTTCCAGAGCTGGCTTCTCCTCTGCTGCCAAGAACTGTGAGGTTAAAAACAAAGCAAGATGAGCTATCAGGACTGCATTTCTGTTTTGCTTTTTTACACTGAAGTTTCCAGTGTACTGCTGGTCACAGCTGGTAGTGTGAGAAAAACAGTAAGAATGGTAGTGAAAGAACAGTATTATAAAAACAGGATGTGCTGTAACACTATATATATTTACATTCAGTCTTCTGTCTGTCTTCTCTAAAGCTTTTTTTAGTATAACTGTTGGTTACCAAGCAGCAACAAAGAACCTTTTAACATACACTCAATCTATCTTCAATATGGCCAGCAGCCAAATAGCCATGCATATCGCAACTGACACCCCACTGAAGCTACGCAGGTGTGGGGAAAAACATCTGGGGACAAACTAAGGTTGCTGCTGGAAGTGGGGCCAGTATGGAGCACACACCCTATAGTCTGTGTGGGTCCTAAAGCCCCTGTATAGTGACTTTTTACTATACTGTAAAAAGGCACACTCCTTCAAATGAGATTTAAAAGTGAGGTCCTGACTCTCCGTAGTCATTCAAAATCCCAGGGCGTTTCTCGAAAAGAATAAGGGTGTTACCCCAGCATCCTGGCCAAATTTCCCATTGGCCTTTACCAATCATGGCATATTAATAATCCCCATCTATGAATTGGCTTCATAATTCTGTTCTCCTCCCCACTGATAGCTGATGTGTGGTGGAGGGGAATCCCCATTATCTGCGAACCACTTTGAGTGGGGTGTCCAGAAAAATGCTATATAAATGTAAGGAATGAATTATTATGATGATGATTATCATTATTAAAAATAACTCAAAAGTCACAACCTCAAAAGCTGTTCTCTTTTCTTGTGAAAAATGGGACCTGGCATTGAGTTTGTATACTTGGAGCAGTCCGGGTTTTTTCTGGGTGGTTTTACATGTAGGTCTCTAGAACGCCTTTTCTGCAAACTTGTAAAGAGTAATGTGTGTTGTGTTTGTCTAGTTGTATGTAGTTAAATGTGTATTGTCACTTTTAATAAATATTTGTTTAACCAAGTGTGCCTGAATTATTACTCTTTTCACCAAAGTTGTGCCAAACAACAAAGAACTTGCATGATTCTAACTAAACAACTGTTCAGGTATATTCTTGGCAAAATCCTTGGTATTTAGGCGTTATGATAATTTATTTTACTTATTTATTTATCTGCTCTGTCATTTTCTATTCTGTCATTTTCATAACCCCCCCATTTGTACCAATACACGCACAAGCTTCAGCTTAAATGCCAACTTTCAGTCCAACTCATTGCTGTCTACAGGACTATAGTACTTTGTCTGCCTACATAGTTTCTAAGCTACCCCTCAGTTATGTTCATATTCTTATACTAAGAATCTAAGTACAGCCTTTTACACCACTGTCCATCAAATAACCATTTAGAAATGCTAGCAGCCTCTCTAGCCGTGTCCTAATAAACATATCCCCATGCATTCAGATAAATGATAGACACTCTTTTTTATCAAGTTACATGTGGAGTTCCAAAAGGCTCTGCACAATGTTGTCTTTATTCTATATGTTCTCTCAAGGGGACATATCCTGAAACATGTAAATTTTCACTTGTGCTTATGACATTTAGCCGTATTTGTCTATCAGGCCCCATTCAGCCATAAATAACCTGCCCTTCTGACATCAGAAATGTATGACAATTAAAACAAAACACAGATTACACTTTTAAGAAAGAACGATTTCCATATATATATGTGTTACAGGTTCAGCCTCAATATGTAAATACAATGTGTTGTGCTAGTGTATCAAGTTGCTTGATTCACACAACCAGACAATATTTCAACACAGGACAGAAAATAAACTAATATTTGCATTTGCTATAACAATTGTAATTAACTATTGTCACCCTCGATGCTGAAAAAACTTAACCTAATTTTAAAATTAATTAGGTACCTCCAGATGTTTATTTGTCTTCCAAGTGTCCACATGGTCTACTGTTTCTGCACCATATAGTCAATTACTATGTGATACTCTATAAAGTATAAAGCACTTTCTCCAATTTGCTTATTTAAAAAATGTCTTACACACCTAACTAGTAATTGTAATGGATTTCTCCAGCATGGAGAAAGGAGGCAGTTGTTTGCACAAAGGGTAGTAGGAGTTTATAACGAACTTCCTAGCCATGTTGTTAAAATCAATATACTGTCATCCGATATATCTAGATGTGATTCAGAGATCAGTTAGCTACTGCTAAGCAAATAACCTAGGTGGGCTAAATAGTCTCTTTTTGTTTGTAGCCTTTATGTACTTGGCACCTCCTTGAAACAAGTACTATTTAACAAACTACTGTACTTAAAGAAGTGACATTGTTCAGGATGAGAAGATAATACATTTACAGCAGTATGAAAATGGTTTCGGTACCTGATCAGCTTCTGCTTTTGATACTGCACTGCATTCGACCTCATCTTTGCTGATCAGGGAGATATTATCTGCAAATAAGCATATTGGAGTTCTAAAGAGTGATATCAATGTTTTCTCTACTGGGAAAGTAAAACAAAAAATGGGTACAAGACATGAAATAGGACAGACTGTTCCATTTGATAACTAAATGTTAATATATTAATATAAAATGTAATGTTTTTTATCAATTAATATTATAATAAAAAACTATTTTATATAGCACCTTTAAAGGTGGCTTCTCAAAGCACTTTACAGAATGACAACAACAATAAATAAGAATACACAAGATAAAACACAATTACAATACACAGAGGAGACTGTGGATGGTGGTACTAAGTACAGTATAGTAGGAGCAGAGGGGTAAAGAATGGAACCAGTTAAGTAAAGTCTCTTCTAAAGAAGAAGATTTTGAGTCTGGATTTGAAGGAGTTTAGAGAAGGTGACTCTGATATCCTTGGGGACAGAGTTCCAGAGCTTGGAGGCATAACAGGAGAAGGCCCTGTCACCCAAAGAATGTAGACGGGCTTGCATGATCTAGTTGCACGGGCTTGCAGAATATTGCTTTGCTTGCATGATTGCTTTGCTCCCATGCAAAAATTGCTGAACACAGCTCTTTTCATAATGATGGTGCTATTCACTCAGTTACTGCAGATTATCCCAAATATGCCACAAGTTCCCTACCTTTAACCAGCAGCTCCCAAAAGCCTTGAAGGCCTCTGTCTTGGATGCTTCTCTTCAGGGACTGCAGATAGTCATTATAGATAGTGGGCTCCCCAACCTGTCAGATAGATAATACTTCATTAATCCCGTAGGGAAATTGATGTGTTACAGCAGTCCAGCCCAAGACAAGCAAAACAGAAATTAGAAAAGTTATAAAACAAAAGACAACAAAATAAATAAAAATATATACATAGGTGTGTGCAAAATGTGCTGATCATAGTCACTGTAAAAACAATAAAACAGTCCCATGAAGCGGATGAGAGGTGTTGTTCATGATGGCTGTGAGCTTGGTCAGCATTCTCCTCTCAGCCACCACCTCCATGGGGTCAAGGCTCATCCCCAACACAGTGCCAGCCTTCTTGATAAGTTTATTGAGGCTATTTGCATCTTTTGTCATGATGCTGCTGCCCCAGCACACAACAGCGTAGAAGATGGCCGCGGCCACCACTGATTCATAAAAAATGTGTAGCAGCACACACAAAAGGACCTGAGTCTCCTAAGAAAATAGAGTAGGCTCTGAACTTTCTTGTACAGGGCGTCAGTGTTACCAGACCACTCCAGCTTATCATCCAGGTGTACCCCTAAGTACTTGTAGGGATGTACGCCCTCTATGTTCTCACCCTGGATGGAAACAGGGTTCAGCGGAGACTTATTCCTTCGAAAGTCGAAAATCATTTCTTTGGTCTTGCTGGTGTTAAGCTGAAGGTGGTTAAGGTGACACCACTCCACAAAATTGGTAATCAAGCTCCTATATTCCTCCTCCCTCCCCTCTGTAATACACCACACAATTGCAGAGTCATCTGAAAACTTCTGCAGATGACATGTCTCAGAGTTGTACCTGAAGTCAGAGGTGTAAAAGGTGAACAGGAATGGAGCAAGGACTGTCCCCTGTGGAGCCCCAGTATTGCTAACAATCTGTTCGGACACACAGCTCTGTAGCCGTACATACTGTGGCCTGCAGGTCAGATAGTCTATAATCCAGGACAGAAGGGGAGTGTCCACCTGCGACAGCAAAGATTACACTTTGCTGTCAATCAGAGGACACACACACCCATTTTTTACACCATCTACTATTTCCTTCTCATTTTTTTACGTCATAAGTATGTGATGTCCATTCTCTGCTATTGTTTCTTTTTCTCAGTGTCTTCTGCCACATTTTGAAACTCCTCAGCAAACATCTTCTAAACTGACATCTTTGTTCTCACTTTGTAAAAAAGTGGTTTGTTCAATATAGGAAATTCATATAGGATACAGGATTCTCAAAACAAGGATCAAGAAGCTAGCATCAACTTCAACTGAGTACAGATATAGAACTTATTGATTCTCGCCTATCAATTTCTCTTCCACAGGCTGATTAAGACTGGATCATCCAGTCCATTATACTGCAGATCCTTTATTAGAAACGTCTTGTAAACATTAAATGACCTGGTAAGACAATCAAGCAATAAACACCTGCAAATCCCATAATTGTAAAAGGAATAAGATTTTAAGGTCTGGTATTTAACAAAAACATACTGTATACTAGCACCATCAAAATGTGACAACACAACAATTTAGGATGATGAAATGATGGTCCTATTACAATGAGCTCCTGTATTCCGCTGATGGTCAATTACAATTCTGTACCATGATTACCTGGATAGACTGCTCTCTGAAGGCCTGGATACAGGAAAAACTCTTCAAGTAAAACTGGGTGCTCTTATTGCACAGCAGCTGCTCAATCCTGTGCGTCAATTGCTCACACACTGCAGAAAATATCAAGCCAAAAGAAAAAGATAATCACTCTTTTCACAGATCAGTCATCCTATCTTTAAACAGGGAATATTTTTTTATTCCTTTATTTTCATCTGATAGGCCAGTTGAGAGTCAAACTTGAAGATCAGACCACATTTTTATGAGTAATTAATGCAGAAGTCCAGGTAATTCCAAAGGGATCACAAACTTTTTCTTGCAATATTGGTAATATTTTGTTTTTCTTATGTGCAGCCCCCTATTGCATTGACTATTCTGACAATAAAATTGGACTCTCCACAGTAGTCCGTCTCTGTCATTTTTCTCTCAACTATACCCAAAAGAGATCTGTAATCCAAATACAGATTATTGTGACTCTATAATTAATATCTTTATTGTCTTATGCTTTCTGTAAATTTTTCAGCCTAAGCACTATACTGTTGGCATTTAGTGCTGTAGATTCTTTACAGCCTGTAAAATTCTTCACCAGAACAGGTGGCATGTGGAAGGGCATTTAACTCAGAACAGGAAGAACTCCTTTGCAGAATGCAACAGTCTACTCAGCCATGTTGTTGGATCATAAACCCTGGTTTCTATCAAGAAAAAGGCTGGAAGTGATCTTCAGATCAACTAGCTACCAAATGCAAAACAGACAACATGGACCAAATGGCCTCCATATATGTTCCTGTCTGCGACATCATGTCCAAGCACTCCAGTACAATTAATCCTTGGTTAAATGGACTAATACAGTGGAAAGGGTAACTGTAATGCTGAATGTCTGTTTAATCACAAATTATGTTTTTCAACCCCAAAACAATATATATATATACTTTTTGTATCTTTTGACTTTTGATTTTTGCAATTGCAATCAACACATTCAATGGAAATTGTTCATTTGCCTTTTAATCATAAATAAACAACCTCACAAGCATCATAAGCTACTAATTTACCCCAATGGGGCACGATTGATATTCCTGAATTTTTATCCTTTGTAGTCTTTATTTTTACCTCGTTTTATTTTTGGTGCATTTTTTACATTGTTAGCATTTTAGTGTATTTTTTCAAATTTGCTAAAGCGTACCAAACAAAAACACCCATCATAAGCAATTCACCTACTCCTTTAAGGTACCCCAGATAATAATACATTTAACATCTATTTAAGGGTATGTTTTACCAAAGATGTTTTATAATTTTTGCACTTTACTGAAATTACTTACATATTTTTCTCAACTTAGTTCACATTACTTTACCGTCTTTGTTTTTTGTAAATGCAATTAGTATTTTTTAGAATAAATCCAGCCCATTTTCAGGCTACTGCTTTAGGAGACAACAGTTTTGTTATTTTGGTATTTTTTGATTCCCCCTTAGCACATTTTTTCCATTATTAAGATCATTAAAACAAAGTCCATTAAACTTTCTCACCCTGGCCAAAGGGAAGGCTCTTCTGGCAGACAAGGAAACGAAAGTCCCGGGACGGATCTACACTGCCAACCTGAGCAAAGCAAGAGAATAGGAATCAGTAAGAGACAGGATCTGCATCACATTCTCAATGTCTTGCTATTAATTATACTTGCAATGCTATTTGCCAACTGTTTTGCATTAGAGGAGAATAAAGCATGTGAGTTTATGGTGGTGGATGCTACACATTGGTGGTAGTGGAGGGGAGATCCCATTATTTGTAAAGATCTTTGGGTGGAGTGTCCAGAAAAGTGTTATATAAGCATAAGCAATTATTATTATTTAAATCTCTCCATCACCATCTCCTCTTAACCACCTTACTGAGCCCTAGGTACAGGTGTGTAGCTGTAGATTTAAACCACTGCTCATTTCCACTGGTCTCATAGCTGAGTTACACAGTACTATTAGAAAGTTCACAGGGTGTTTCGGTACCTACAGGCAATGGCAACATAGGATAAAATTCATTATTGTTTGTTTAGAAACCACTGTAGTGTAAGAACCAGTGTTCTTCCTACTTACAGCAGTAATAGTCCCATCTGATATCTCAGTTAGTTTGAATTCTTCATCCTTCTCTAGTTTTGGCTTCTTGGAGTCAGGCTCCTCTTCATTACTATAGGATTGAATATTGTGTTGTCATCAGAAAATGTAAAATACCACAAACACACAGCATGAACAACTCAGAAATGGGACAGGACTATCTGTATGATATGCCATCTAACAGGCTGCTGACTTGTACCCGAATATATCTGCACTGGTCTTGGTCTCCTTCTTGCGGATGGCCTCCTTGAGCGGGAAGCGGCCTTGCAGCTCCTTCAGAGAGGCCTGGCAGCGAGCGGTCACAGCCTGGGGTCTCTCCAGCACCTCCTTCAGCCAGGGCTCCACAGGGGGCAGCGGAGCAGAAGGGTTGAGGGCCCGGTGGTGCAGACACTGGGGAAAGGGTGGAAAGGGCCAAGGTAGAGGGGTGACAGAGGTAAAGGTGAAGAGAGAGAGACAGAGGAAGCAGAGAAGCAGCAAGAAAAAAGGGAAGAAACAAAGGAAAGGAAGTAGAAGAGAAAAAAGAAAGCAGTGGAGAAAAAACAGAGGCCGAGATGGAGAAAGAAAGGAGGAGGTGTGGAAAATTTGAATACCGACAACTGACATTTCTGAACATTTAGATATTAATTCTATGCGGAAAAGATGTACGTTTTCAATCTTCAGGTCAGGCAATTGCACTTATTTCACTAGAACATGTTTTTAAACAACTGCTGTGGATTCACCATTCCATTCATTTCCTAACCACTTCATCCAATATAGGGTCGTAGTGGAGCTGGAGCCCATCCCGCAAGCATCAGGGGGAGCAAGGCACGATGTACCTCAGTGACATCAGTCTATCTCAGGGCCCAAAATGATATAAACACACACACTCACACCAATTTTCCCAGAATCCAATTAACCTACCAGTGTCTTTGGACTGTGGGAGGAAACTGAAGCACCTGGAGCAAACATGGGGAGAACATAGAAACTTCACGTAGATAGCACCCCAGGTCTGAAATTAAACCCAGGGCCACAGCACTGCAAGACAGCAGAGCACCACCCTGCTTTATGTTTGGAATAATTATCATTTGTAACACAGATCTTGCATGTAGATTTTTATTTTACTAGCACTAATTACAGCTAGCAGCCTCATAACAGAGTGTCGAGCGAAACACTAAATTTCAATGTATC